GTGGGCGCCCCGAGGGTGTGAGGCATCACCGTGGTCGTCATGGCCATTGGTGTTATGCGAAGAACCCCAGAGTGCCCAAAGCTGCCCCACAGGAGGAAGGCCAGGCCATAGGAGGGTGCCACAAGGAAGGGTTCCAGGGAAGCTCCCCCAGGAAGGGCGACGGTGCTAGGAACTAGAGTGGGCTGGGTGCAGGGCGGCTGAGGCCAGGTGGGGTCAGAGTCCAGAGCCAGGCCCAGGCCTCAGATGACCCCATATGGGATGCAGTGAGCAGCAGCACCCACCCAGACATAGAGAGAAGCAAGCAGGGAGGCAGCAAGAATGGGAACCAGACTGTGGCCAGGGAAGATCGAGCTGCGGTGGTGGCAGCGGGGTCAGAGGAGGGATCTGGGATAAATGAAAAGAAGTGACATGTCACTGACGGACAGGAGGAGGTGCCTGGATGGCATGTGAGGAGGGGGTGTGCTATACGCATGCCTCATGCATGTGGCCAGCAGTGGGAGCCTGGGAGAGGAGACTGAGGAGGCAGCCAGGCTGGTTGACATCTAGAGCAGCACCCACAGCCACCCAAGGTCTGAGGGATCGTGTCTGCGGTCATGGCCAGGCAGGAAACCTTCAGGCTCCAGGTGCGCCAGGCTGAGAATCACTGAGGCGGAAGCCAGACAGCAAGGAGGGAGGGAGGGAGGCACAGAGGGCCACTGGGAGCCAGTGAGGCCCCGGCAGCCTCCCAGGAGTGTGTCCAGGAGGGGCGGCCCCTGCGCCTACTGCTCAAGGCATGGGCAGGATGAGGGTGGGTGGGGAGCAGCCTCTGTGCCCCACCCTGGGTGTAGCCTCTCCCCCTGACAAGCACCATCCATGTTGGGTTCTTCCTGCACACCCATGAATGTGGGATGGTGCAGTCACTTTACAGGCACAGCCCAGAGTGCTGGGGAAGCACGGGGAGCCCCAACATAACTCCTGGCCCCCACAGTAGCTTAGGAGCTCAGTTGTCACTGCGCACAAGGTCAGCTGACCTACACTAATGATCTTAGAGTTTTTATTCCAATTTAAATTTAATTTTAAGAAATTAAAATGGTCAGGGAGGCTGGTTTATATGCAGCTTCCCAGACCCTTCTCACTTGCTCTCCAGTGAGGTAAGCAACTCAGCCTTGAGCGCTCCCAGCCTCGGTCCAGCCCTGTGCAAAGTCTTGGGTTAGGCCTTGGAAGAGAATCAAAAATGCAGATGTTTTCATCTCCTTGGTGAAAAACCCATGGCTGAAACTCAAACAGGTCAAGCTCTCCAAGGAGCGCAGTGCCTGCTGGCCCTTGTAAACACACACCCGCAGGGCTGTGTTTCACACGGAAAACAAACGAGGCAGTGAACACTTGAAGCTCTTCTCTGCCTGACCTTCTCTTTTCCTCGGGGAGCCTCCCGGGGTGGGGTCAGCAGGTCACTGGTCAGGAACACATGAGCTTCACCACTGCTCAGGAGCCAAAAAGCTACCTCCAGCCCCTGGAAGGAGGACCCAAAAAAAGCCATAGTTATCAGACAACCAACCCAGCAAGCTTTGTGTCAGGGGCTGCCGAAGTGCAGGTGGCTGGAGGAGTCTAAAGCACGTGTAGTCATCACCACCTGCTGTTGAGGAAGGTAGGGGGTAGCATCCAGGACTGAGGTGAAAACCAGAGAATAAAACCTCATTTTCAGATGACAGGCCTGGTGTCACATGGTGACCTTGAGCCATGTCTGTGTGTACGTGGGGCCCACTCCTTACACATACACAAGCTGCTTACCTATCACAAAGCTTTGCTTGTGGGCGTTGACTTTGCTATCACCAGGCCAGCCTGTTAAGCTAGACTATTTCCCCATTCTCTGAGAGTGACCCAGGCAAAGAGTCAGACCAGACAGCCTGTGCCTGAACTCCAGCGTCCTCCAGTGGGCCATGTAACGCTGGGGAAGCTGCCCACTCCCAGACCTCAGTGTCCCCGGCTCCAGAATGAGACAAGTGTGATTCAATTCAGAGGTCATTGGCACTAAAGGAGATAAAGGAAGAGCCTCTCACAGACCAGTGCACAAAAAGCACCCACATCGACTCTTCCTCCTGGCACCTGTCTGATCCCAAGTGCCCGTATTCACTGTGTGGCTCGCTTTCCTCTTCTGTGCTCCACAGACTCATCTCGAGTTCAGTCCACTTGGCTGGGCAAGGCCAGAGATTCCTGAGAAGGTCATTCTGCCACAAGCAAATGGTGGGAGCTCTGAGTGCTCCCCCTCTTCTTAGCAAGCCCAATGTAGGTTTGAAGAGCATGGTGTGGTCTCTGTGCTCAGGGAACACCCAACGCAGGCAGGTGTGACCCACCACCACGGCCAGGTTGCTCACCAAGGAAGCACACAGAACCCCACCTGGAGCACCCATCCCCACACTGCCCCCACAGCTGCAGAAGGTACCCCTGGCAGGAGCAAGGGTCCCAGTACCCACTCCTCCAACCCCCAATAAAGAGACTCCCACAGCTCTGGGGTGGCAGGGCGTACCCAAACACACAAACCCACAGGACACCAGGCCCAGAGTAGGCTCTGATGCTGACCTTCCAGCGCCCTCATCAGTGGGCAAGGCTCCTTGAGCCCTCCTCGGAGGCAAGAACTGAGGACAGAAAAGCACACAAAGGACTCCAAAAGAGGGTAACTGTGCCGATGTTGTAGCCAGAACCTGAGAAGTCAGTGATGTAAACAGAAAGTGGCCTGAGATGTAAGTGCTTCTCTGTTAATGCACTAAACAAGAGTGTCTGCTGCACGGCTCACCACGCCCGTGACTCCCACGCAGCAAGGCAAAGGTGTGCTTCGGGGCGTCTGCTCCCAATGCTTCACAGCGTGAAAATACCCGAGGTCTGGACGGACTGGGGACCAAGGCGCAGGTCTGCTGGCATCACTGGCCCCGCCGTCTACATTCGTGATGAAAGCAAATGCCGAGTTTCAGTTAGAAGTTAATGGAGACAGAGGTAGCTTTGTAAGTTTGTAAGTTCACAGAAGCCCTACCCTCTCTCTGCTTGCCCTCTAAGGTCCAGGTACTCAGTTGAGACCCCTGCGTTAAGCTGAGAGTTAGTGCTTGATTGTCCCATTAACTGACACTTAGCAAATATCCACTTTGTTCCAGACGCAGTAGACCAAGAGAGAGGGACAGCAGTAGGGTGAGACTCAGTGCTTTCAGCATCCCCACCCAACGTCTGCTGCCCTGCTTCTAGGTTATTGTGACCTGTGTTGTAACCTGCTATCGGGACTTTTTCTCCTTAAATATGTAACTAAATACTAAACAAGTGAATGAGATCATCATCTGCTTAAGTCCACTGCTGATCGGAGGTTAGAGACCATGGGTCACATCAGGGAATAAACAGCCATCCATACTCCCACCTTGCCCGACTGGAGGTGCTGAACAGGGTACCAGGAGGCAAAGCTGAGCAGTCATCCCTGGCTGCTGCTGCCACAACTACACTGCGAGGGTCAGTGACTAATCCTTGGGAGGAGAGCAGGGAGCCTACAGAACTCCACAGGGCCCCCGGAGGGTCTCAGGTAGCCTGGGTGAGTTCTCAGGACCTACCCAGAGGTCTACTCTGGACTTGGTTTAAAACACACACAATTCAGCACCAATGCCCCAAGTGCTCAGAAGTGACTTGCAGAGAAAGCTTCTTGTACACCCCAAAACACTCCAGCCTGGGGGGGACCCTGTTGTTATTGCTATTGAAACTGATTATCAGCAGTGTTCAAAGACACAGGCTTTGTGCCAGGCATGAACCACAGGTCTATTTAAACCAAACCCCTTTCTCACTAGCATGTCATAGAGGAAACTGAAAGCACCCCAGAGCAGCAAGCGTAATTCACACAAATGAGCTCCCAAATCCAAGAAACTTGGGAAGACTGGTCTGCACTGCCGATGGTAACTACAGAGAACCCCAGAGATGCACTGCAAGCTGCTCTGGGGCCAAGCTGCATCCTGGACAGCAGGACTGGTATACTCTCTTTTCAAGGTGACATAATGACACGGCTAGCATGAATTTCAAGAGTGAAATCACTTCTGAAAAGGCACCTGGTAAATAAACACAGAAGCTGAAGCACTCAGTACCAGCATCACCCGTGATGGGGGGTTGTGGCCAGGGTGCTTCTTGCTGCAGGCAGCAGCTCTGCACACACCAGCCACTGACCCCACATGGCAGTTGCTGACCACACCCACCTGCCATCCTCAGTGCCCATCTCGTGACATCACAAAACGAGTGTCTGGAGGTCTCAATACCTTTGGTTTTAGATGCAGACAAACTACTTCCCACAAGAGTCTCCAGGGACTCACTGTGCTGTGGCTGTGTCCAGATGTCCCCTCAAAGCCTTATCAGTCATAGGGGGGCTTTTTCAGAGGTGGCCAGATTGATGCTAAGGGTGGCACTAAGGGTAAAGCCCACTGAAGGTTTGGCAAAGTTCTGGCTAGGGTCAATGACTCTAGGATTAAGGATGTGAGTGCCACCCTTCCTAAGGTTGGGCAGCCTGAAAGAACATGAGGGACAGACTGAGTGGCTTATTACTTGCTTGCTTTGCTACCTTCTGCCCTCCATGAACTGCTTCTCTGCAATGCCCACCTGCATCCGAGCCAGCCAGCTGGGTACTGAACCTCCACAGACTGTGAGCTAAGTAACCCTTGCCCCTGTTAACCTTGCGTGTGCAGTACTTTGTCACAGCAATGAGAGAAGTGACTAAAACAATGCACTATGGTAGTAAGAAGGGAAAGTGGAATCATTTTCAGAGTCTTCTGTATAGGTGAAAGAAAGTGGGTTCAGAAGAAAATCCTCCTTGGTCCCTGCAGCTCTGAAATTTCTAGTCAGAACATTTAACTTCAAGACTTTTAGACAGCCAAGCTCTTCAGCCATGTGTTTTAAACCCCTTGCACGGATGGCAGGCCAAAGAACACAGCAACCATTCAGGGCCTCCCAGGGTGTGACAGGGGGCTGGCCCTCACCCCACCATGATCTCACTCAGGGCAGCGACTTACGGAAGTATTTCAGCGTCTCCTCGATTTGTTCAGAGGTGAGGTCAATGCTGGCATCTGGGGAGACGAGGGGCGTGTGCAGCCAGTCATCGTGGTCGTAGCCATAGATGGTGTCGGCTCTCAGCTTGTAATGAGGCAGCTGCTCCTCCAGCAGGCTGATGATCTCCACCTCGGGAAGGTTGGTGCTGTTGCACACGTCTGCGGACAGGGAGACCAAGAGGAGTAGGAGTGAGAGGCAGGACCCGCAGGTGCCACGCTGCGCTAGCCGCTGGGCCTGGCTGGGAGCGGCGCCTTTGCTCCCAGATGCAGCCGGATCAGGGCTTCTCCCACATGTGATTCTACTCCCAAAACTTAAAATGATGGGGGGTGGGCAAACAGGGTGCAGCTGGATAGGAAGAAATATTTCCAACGTTCTGCAGCACATTAGGGGCATTGTGGTTGACAGCTCATTGTTTCAAAGAAACTGGTAGAGAAGCTGTGAGTATGCTCAACACAAAGACAAGACAACAGGGTGCCACTGTGCTGAATGATCGATCATGGCACACAGAGTAAGAAACTATACTGAACATAATGCTGTACCCCAAATCATGTATAATTACTATGCATCAAGTAAAGCTAAACACAAAAACGTCAAGCTTAGAATTCTGTAGCTCACACCCTCTGGGATCCTTCTCAAGCGCTCTGCACTTAGGCCAACCAGCTGTAACTTAAGCACCATGCCTAACTTCTTCCTCCTACTCTTCTACTGTTCAAACCTTCCCCTAGGTTGGAACCCGGCCTACATTTAATGTGTTACTTCCTCTGTCCACTCGCCCATCCTTCCTCCCAACCACCCCAGAGATATGATGAGACACAGCATTCGTGGTCCTGCGATCTCAACCCTCGAGCGCCTAGGGGGCATCCAACCATCACCCCCAGAGGTGACCCCCTCTGAGGCATGGAACGAGTACCAATGCCCTGACACACTGCTGCTTCATCTCGCCTCCAGAACTTCTGTCACTGTGCTTCTTAAATTGCACCTCCTGGGTGTTTTGTATCTGACTTGTGAGCTGGAAGATGCAGTCTTCCAAGCGCAGCCATCCTGAACCTACCCCTGTGTTACTGGCCCAGGGCTCCCAAGAACATCCCAGATAGTGAACCAACCCATCCAAAGCACAGTGACACAGCCCTTGTAACTATTCTGTCATGGTAACCAGGGTGCCACCCTACTTCTCTACCCCAGGCTCACTTATCAAAGGGGCTTAAAGGGAAGTGTAGTTAACAGCTGTCAGCTGCTGACATCAGCCACCTATGAAGGCAAAGGGCATGACAGCAGCAATGGTTTTGCCAACCTAGAAAGGGAGCAAGCGCCCCAGGTGCACACAGCTGGATGGGAATTACCAGCCCAACGACACATGTGCTCCCAGGGCTCTCTGTAGTGAGGCTGCCGTCGAGGTGGACTGTGGATGGAGTGGAGACAGCAAAGGCCTTGTCTTCCATCCTCCACCAGGAACAGGCGAGCAAAAGGAACACACCCGATGGATAAGGCTGCTCTGCAGTGTGAGCAAAGGCAGGTACTAAGGATGGGCCAAGATTCGGAGTGCACCTCAAAAGGAACAAAGGATCAAATCAAAGGAGGCAGCCAGATCCCCAGCACATGGTCAGGAATGACTGGTGCCAGCGTGGACACAGCTGCGAGTGGGAGTGAGAAGGGCCTCGGCAGGACCAGTAGGGAACAGAAGCCGGAACTCAGGAAGCAGGGAAGTGTCCCTCTCTCTTCCACTCCCTCCAAGTTCAAGGCCAGGCAGGGGACAGGACAGGGATGCAGGCAGACCGTGGAGAGACCTGTGCCCAGAAGAGCCACACCTTGGACTTGCCAGAATCTCTGCTTCCTTCTTGTTTAAAAAGGCCATGCAGCAGATAGAAAGGGCAAGGGGACAATTACAGGAAGAGAGCATGGAGGGTGTGGGTAGGAACTGGCCCCAGGGGCAGGGTGGGCACCATCTTTCCCAGTTCCTTCCAGCCCTCCTCTTGCAGCTCCCACTCAAGCTGACACTCAGGGATCTGCTGCAAGACAGGAGCAGCAGGACATCAGGGTGGCTTCCCAAAGCATTAAGCAAGGAGTGGAAGCTCAGAAAATGAGGACACTCCTCATTTCACAGCTCCACCCTGGAGGATGGAGCACACCACAAACAAGTGAAACCCAGCCCAGCCAGCCTGGTCCATCACTGTCGCCCCATGGGTCTGCGGAGTACAGAAGGGGGCCTGCGGGACATAGCAACAGCTCGGCTCAGGCAGAGGACTTCTCTGACCACGCTTCCTACTTGCTGTTTCGGAACACCATGCAAAGGTCCAAGTGGCCCAAGAAAGCCAGGGCTTCCTTGCTCGATTTCCAGGGCACAGCTGCTTCCCACAGAGCCACTCTGGGGATGCCTCCCAGCTGTCTTCAGCTGTCATGCAAACAAGGAGACCTGGAGCCAGCCAAACACAGGTCAGTCCCAACCATTAACACATGGTGGCCACCACACAGTAGCTACACAAAGCAGTGCACCAGGAGACCAGGTCAGGAACATCTCAGGGTATGACACCCAAACGACTGGCTGGCACCTGCTAGACTCCTCGTGCTGCTTGGTGGTGGGGACACAATAGTCCGGAAAAATGAAGACCTCTTCTAAGAGCCCCGTGTCACTCGTGAACAAGCTGGCAGTGGCTGGAAAGTCAAGGCTTGACCTACCCTCCCACGTGTCCAGGGCGTAAGGTCCTTGTGCCCAACAGATCATGTCCTCAAGGTGCCTGAGGACCAGGAGATGGGGTCGGAAGGCAAGGCTGGGCTGACACCTCTTCAAAAGACTGCCCACACATGACCTTTCCAACAGGACTGTGTACAACTGTCAGCAACTCTGCAGCTGCGTGGGAGGCACAGCGAGGACCATGGCAGACGCCCAGGGGTACCCCAACCTCAGCCATGGACCAGAGGCTCCAGTAGAGATAGACACATATGTGCCTCATAAAGAAGACGCATTGGAGGCCGAGGGTGGTGACTGTCACCTAGGAGCCTTCAAGAGCCCCACAGGCAAACCCCGACTGGAGTCCTCAGAGCCCCCTGGGGCCCTCATAGCAGCCTCGGGACTCAGATGTCACTTGCTCAGTGTCAGATCCAGTCTGAGAAGCCTAGCAGTGGGCAGGCAGTTTCTCCACTCCTCTGCCACCTGCTGCCCCCTTCTGGAGAGAGCCTGCAGGTCATGGAAATCCCAGGACTTGGCCACCACAGGAAACCCAGTTCTAAGCAGGCCAAGGCTGCCCCATGGGCCAGGATGGGCAACCAGATGTGGCAAGCCAGGGTGGTGCTCCCACCCAAAGCACAGCAGGGACAGCCTGGCTTGGTGAGTGGTCTGCCACCACAAGGTCACAGTGAGGGATGGCACTGCCCCCAAACCCATATGGGCCGGCAGAGTGGATGGACACTGCCCTGTGCAACCCTCGAACACTCTGTGGTCATCACATCCCTGAAGCTCCAGCCCACATGGCCAACCAGCTGCACAAATGTGCTATTGGGTAAAAGTCACCAAAGAAGAACGAAAGTTTCCTCAAAGAGCCCAGGACCCCAGAGGGCATGGCTTCAACAGACCTGCAGGAACAGCAGTGCCCAGTGCAGACAGAGACTGAAGAACCCCTCAGCCTCCTCCCACCCTCTCCTTTAGCCCCCACAGCCGCTGTGGGAGCCATCTCTGGAAGGTCACTGATGGCATCAGGGATTTCCCACGAGAACAAGTCAATACAAGACACATAATTTATGGAATTACCTTATAATGGTCACCTAGAGTCAAATACAAAAGAATGGAAATCTGTCCACACACTAAGACCCGAAGAATCTAGCCGAGGGTCTGGCAGCATCCTGCACAAGCTCAGCCGAAGACCTACAGCCCATGACAACACCTCCCATAGGTCCAGCTGGAGGCCCAGAGCCCACAATAATACCTCATGCAAGTCTGTTTCACAGCTCTATACTGTTCAAAGGTCAGCAGTAGAAGCTAGAAAGTCTATGCCAGAGGGGTGAAGGATCAGTATCAGCAGGCTGAGGGATCTGCACTTGAGCCAGGAAGCAGTGCTCAAAATAAGGACCAGGGCTCCCCTGAAAATGACCACAGCCATCCTCAGCAATAATGAGGTCCCGAGCTCCTCTGACAATGAGAACAGCCGAGTTATCAGGAAGTCAGCATGATGAGCTTCTCCTGGAGATTGAGCAGCACACATCTTTCTCTCCGGAGCCAGAAAGCAATGCTCAGAGTAAGGACCAGAGCTACCCCAACCTGGGAGCCACTCTCAGTGACAACAAGGTCCCGAGCTTCTCTGACAGTGAGAACAGCCAAATGCAAATCAGGAAAGAAGCTGGACAAATTCCTCCAGGAGAACCCATGGCAACAGGAGAACCAGCACCACAGAGAACCAACAACCTGCCACTGTTTCCTCACCAGGTCTCCTTTTTATCCTGGCAGCAGTCTCAGGCAGGATGTCCACACTCAGCACCACGTTGATTCAGTCAGCTGGTGTTACAAGCTGACCACTAGTTATCAGTCCACCCGTTACCCACTCCTCACTGCCTGCACAGAACTTTGTGACTCTGCCTCTTGCCCCCACTTCCTGTTGGCCAATAAGGTTTCTAGTGCTCCTTTTGGGGATGCTGGCTCCCAGGGACAGCTGGGTCCACAACCGCCCAGCTAGAAATGACCACTCCCAACTTGCCCTGCAGGCCACCCACGTCCCTCAGCAATGGGAAGGAAACGGCTTCCAGCTTCCATTTCCTTGTCCATTTGCAGTCATCCAGTGCTGGGGCCACCTCCAGGGTCAGCAATGCAGAGGGATGACCAGGTGGCCAGCCACCTGGCCTTGCTGCTGGAGAGAGCCCTGCAAAGCCAGGACTCTTGAGAGGGCAGGAGCAAAGATGTAGCTGGTGGAGGTCAGAGCCATGCTGGTCTGGCCTCTGGTCAGTCAGCTGAGCCGACACTGTTCTGAGCAGGGCCCCACGCCCCATCCGTTCACCACATCAACCACTCGCTGTTCTCGAAGATGCTTTTGGCATATTCCCCACAAATCTAGGTTTTACACCAGCAACCAGCCACACCCCAAATGTCACCCAAATGTTACCCTGTACCCCAACAGCCTCCCTGGGCTTCTCACAGCACAACATAACGGGGTTTTCTCCACGTCACTCCAGGGAC